TATTAGTGAGTATGGGTATTTTGGGGGAACTCACTAAGCTTTTGAGCTTACAGTTTCAGTTTATTGTTTCAGGTACATCAGGGGATCGAGGCAGGGCAAAAGACGTGATCACACCGCTCCTCACATTTTGATATGTATTATGGGAAAACTCTGATAAAGATTATTTTGGAAACAAACTTGTAGTAACTATTGGTTTTTAAATGTTTTTGGAAAGTTTAAATTTGGCTTAAAGTTTATGGGTGTTATAAAAGGCATAAAGTCAGAGACTTTATCACTTAGGAAGTTTTTGAGGTTGATATCCGAGAATTGGATGGTTGGTCGTTATGCATTAAGAGTTTAATGAAAAGTTGGCAAAAAGCGTTGTTACGCAGGGCGTAATTTAGGATATGTATGACGTAGCCTGAATTGTCCCCAATTGTCATCAAAGGCAGTCGTAGGGCGTAGAGCATGGGGTACGTGGGTCGTAGTGCCATAAAGGGATTTTGGACAAAGTTAGATTAAGGGTCAAGTAGAGTAGGCCCTAGTCTTGGAAGGGTAAAATGGTCTTTTACCCCTTATAGAGATAATGATTATAGGCTAAGACCCTTGAGTATGAATTGTTTCCTTAATCTCTAATTAGGGTTTTATTGTGTATTGTTTAGTGTGTGGAGTTCCAGTTTCGGTAGCCTGAGTGTGAGATGTGTTTGTCTACAAATTAAGGTGAGTCTCTTCAACATACGTGTGGGTCGAAGGAACCAATGTCGGCCCATTGGATTGTGTTATGTAAGATGCTAGCTATTTTTATGACACTTGCGTGTGTTTTTTGGGCGGGGCCAGTTATGTATGTTGAGCGGGGCCCGTTATGTATCCTAGGCGGGGTCCGATTGTATGTTGGGCGGGTTCTATTATCATGGCGGGGCCCGACATGTGGATAGGGTCCGAGATTTATGTATGGTTATGTGGTATTTTGGGGAACTCAGTAAGCTTTGTGCTTACGGGTTCATGGTTTAATGTTTTTAGGTATTTCCAGTTCAAAAAGGAATGACCCGACGTGATCACACCACATCCCCTTGATTTTAGTTTGCATTGATATTTGATTCCACTCTAATGCTTAGAATATTTTATATTATGGTTGTTTTGGAACAAATTTATTGTATTTTGGAGGTTTGAAAAATAAAAATTTTACCACTATTTTTGGGATGTTATAAATTTGGAGACAATATTTCATCTCTTTATGAATCTCCATCTTAAACCCACCAACTTTTTGATGTAAGACCTAAACTAAAAGTATGTAGTAATGTTTTTTGGTTGGTTGTTTGCGACAGGTTCCATGACATAAGTCATGATATTAGTTCATAAATCAGAATATTTCTTTAATTCAAATTAACTCTAAGTCATGATATTGGTTCATAAATCAAAATATTTCTTTAATTCAAATTAACTCTAAGTCGTGATATCGGTTGGTTTTGCTAGAAGCTCTGATTTTGTGCTTCCCCTGTTACTTGCTACTATGTTTATGATATAATCATTTAGTATTTTCATTGGCTTATATAATCAAATTACATGCCATATCATCTTCAACAACTAGCTTAAATGAAAATGCATCGAACATTTTTCACTTCTTGAGACACCATTTTGGTATGTGCCTTTTAACTTGGGCTTATATCTCTTTTTCTCTATCAGTTCTAAAGAATGTGACCTTCATATTTTATTTGACTGAAATGTCTTTAACGGAACATGTTAATATATATTCTAGAGCCAAAATGTACAAATTTGAAAGCATGCAGTATAACACCTGTACAATGGAACATGTTAATATATATCCTAAATTTGGTATATATCTTCTCATGGATTATTGAGGTTTGGTTTTAAAAAATAGATTGTTCTTAATTTTTGAATACAGCAGGAAACTGCCTTTCCTTTATTTACCCTTTTGTTTCTTTTTTCAAGTATAATTTATTTAGGGACATAAACATATTTCATGGTAGTGACCATTGATTTGATCCAAAGTCACGGTTTATATTAAGATTGGTTGCAATGTGATGTCTTGCAAGAAACAAGAACACTAATTCCAATACGAAAGTTATGATAGAAATGTGTTTTAAGAGAATAATAAAGCATCACATGCATTGTTCTTATAAGAAATAAAAATACAGTTAGTCCTTCCAACAGGTTGTCATATGTCTTTGTGGTTTGCATATTTTTTGATTTCGTGAACATGTATAACCTTGCCATTCATGCTCTGATATATATTCCAGTGATAGATATGTTCTAGAAGGTCTTTTTGTTGGTGTAGATGATTTTTTTCATTGATAAAGATCTAACCTGTAGGTATGTTTGTCATTTTTTTCTTTGTTAGTAAATAACTTTGACAACATAGAGAAATGTGTGTTATCTAATGTTAGATGTCAAGATGTGAAGTACATGATAAATATTTAAATCTTGATATTAAGGGTTAATTTTTTGTATTTCATTATCTTCAAATCTCAACATTCATAACTAATTACATGTTTTTAATGACATAATGGCTTTTTTTCATAGATGGTTGCTTTTTATGAATTGTGTATTAGAGAGTATCGACAGATGAGAGTTAGTGGAGCTAAAGCACTAATATCTCACGAGAATTAGAAATTGGTTGGATGTATCACTTTGGCTATGTTTGACGTATTAACTGAAAAACTAGTTGATAAAAAGTTAGTAGATAGTTAAAAAACTATCTGATAAAAAAATAACGTTTGGTAAAACTAGTTGAAAAAATATGAAATGACATAAAAGACATTTAAAAGAATGTGTTTTTTTTATAATTAATTAATGGGTATATTTGAAAATTTAAAAAAAAACTCTTAAAAAGTTAGTCTAAGTAGCTTTTTAAAAAACTAGCTTATAAGCTACTTTTTAGCTTGCCGAACATGACAACTTAAAAATACTTGAAAAATAAGCTAGATTTTCAGCTATATGTGACGCATCGAATACAATCTTTATCTACTTCATATACACAACATTGGGTGGATGTTTAAAGTAGGGATGAGCATAATAACCGAAAAACCGAACCATAACCAAATTAACCGATATAACCAAACCATAATAACTGAACCATTTTAAAAACAGTTGGTTCGGTTTCTAATTTTTGTTAATCGATAACTAACGGTTCGGTTATGGTTTTATAGGTTAACCGAACCATTATTAATCGAACCGCTAACTTTATATTTTAATATATAAAAATTATAGATCATATATAAAATAATATAGTCAAACTTATTTAAGATCCATTAAAAATTTGAAAATATAAATCATTAATCCTCACTTATCAAGAGACGAACGAACAATCAAACCATCAAATGTTGATCACGTAGACACACACAATCTTTCAATCATGCATTGAGTTAGATTATTGATTAAGGTTGTAATTCCTAATCAGCTAATTCTATAATTTGTAAACATTATTCACAATTAGTTTAATCTTCACACTTATAATCCTAATCCAAGGCTTCTCACACCGTTAATCCTAATAAAAGACTGTTTGGACTTTATGGTCCTGTTTGAAGGTTTTTTTTTGACTTTATAATCAAAACTTCTAGGTAAGTTAAGTTTTTGGTTCTTCTTGACTCTGTGATATATTAATAATGTATATTTTTGAATTTTTTTGACTTTTCTTATTTACAGTTTTTGACTTAATCATATTGAATGTATATGAGTGATTGATTTTTTTTTTTATCCAATAACACATAAAATAAATGTTTGACTCTTTTATTTTATAGTTTTGATTTAATCGTATTGAACGTGTATGAATGTTTGGTTTTTATTTTAATATTAATATCAATTATCAATATATGAAATTAAAAATGTCAAAATTTTTAATGTTTTATATTTTTATTGAATGTTTTTTATTTTGAATGTAACTATGTGTTATCTCACTCTAAGTATTAAAGGTAGACATTTTATTCTATTACTATAAGTTAGGTTACAAACATCGGCGTCGAGGATTTTTTGGTATTTTATTTTCATTTTTTATGCTAATATACTTTCGTTGTTTATATTATTTTGAACATTATGGTTAACCAATATTAACCATTAACCAAAACCGTTAACCGATAAAAACCATTAACTATAACCAATATTAACAATACCCAATAGTTACAAAAATGCATTAACCAATTATAATGATTATGGTTCGGTTTTAACCAATAACCGAACCAACCACCTTATACACACCTCTAGTTTAAAGCTTATTTTAATATTCGCAGGTGTAAGTTCGGAAACTTAAAAAATATTAATTGAAAATATTGAAGTTATGTTTATTGACAATCAATAAACAGATTATGTTATCTAAGTAGATAAAATTGTGGTGTTAACTATGTAGTTTAAGTTGTTTGTTTGTAATGAGATTCGACTTGGTGATTTGATATTAATTTGTTTTGTTAATTCATGAGACTATGGGATGTGTTTATTGTGTTATAGTTTGAATAGAAAACTTATGGTTATTTGGATATGTAAATATATTATTATTGTGAAGTTCATGTAAAATTTTCATTGTTCGTTTAATTGTGATATGATCATGTAAATCATTTATAATATAAATTAAATTTTATTGGTTATTAATAATTTAAATCTTTTATAAATATTTTATCTATGGTTTTCACAGATTGTAACTTAATTTATTATAATAAAATAGTTGTTATTATTTATTAAAAGAATTTATTACTACAAGTAAAATTTAAAATATATTAATATAACATAATAAAATACAAGTAATATTTATTATAAGATCCAAAATATGCTGCTATAAATGAGGTTCTTAACTATTTTTCGCAATTAATCGCATTATTTCAGTGAATTTTACTGTAAATTGTAATATATATATATATATATATATATATATATATATATATATATATATATATATATATATATATAAATATAACAATATAATAATCCAACTAAAATACAATTCTTATTTAACTTACGAAAAAAAAAATCAGTTTGGTGGATACATAGTCTTGCTTTTGGGTGCTAACTAGAATATGCCACGTGTGATCCCTCTCTCCAGACACCCAGTATAAAATATCGTAAACCTCGTTGCTTGATTTTTCTCTCAAACCCTCAAACTTTTGAGGCGTCGTCTTCCCTTTTTTTCTCTTCACACCGACTCCATCTACCTATCGGCCGGAGGTGATTCCTATCGCAAACGCTTTCAATCTCGATCAATTCCTAGATCTTTCACTTTCCGATCTCAAGGTATCGATCTGATCGAATATCATGTTTCTAGGGTTCGTTGTTCATTGAAATCGTGATTTTTGGTTTTCGATGTGATTTTAATCTTGTTTGTTTGGTTTTAGATGGTGTCTGATGCGAGCAAGAAGAAGGCGCTCCAGAAGAAGGCAGCAGCGGCTGCCAAGAGAGGAGGTAAAGCAGCAGCCGCCGCTACTTCGGCTAAGGCGGCGGCTGTTGGTACGATGAACGGAAGTTCTAGTACCGATAACTTGTCGAATGGGATGGGGTCTCTTGTGATATCTGACCGGACTTGTACCGGCGTTCTTTGTTCTCATCCGCTGTCTAGGGATATTCGGGTAAGAACAAAAGTGAAAATTGGATCTGTATTTCTATAAATTTGAGTTTTTTATTTTTCTTTATTGTTTAAATTGCTATTTAGGTTGATCCAGTTATAAAACAACACCTAGGTTTAGAAATTTAACAGGCTGTGAGCGAAAAGTGGTTTTTATATTGTTTAATACGTTTTCTAGGGTTCTTAGTTTTGATAAAGCGATGAATTGACTAGCTTCACATATTGATAATATAATCATATTAGTTGAAATACTTCAGAAATCAGGACCATCGAATTATATTCATCTCCCAGAAAAAAAAAGGATATTTTTGTGCTGTTTAGATATTATTCTATCATGTTAATGGTTTATTGATTTGTGTATGTTATCCATGCTTGATGTTCTTCCTTAAAGTTACTTATTTTTTAACTAATGAAGCTTTTATGACTTATTTAGTGGTGTATAATTGTATATGGTTGACCCTGCTTCTGTATCTTTTGTGTTTTTAATATGTTATATGAATCCTTCTTTTGGAAGCGAATTTTGCTGGATTCTTTTCCATGTTTGTTTCATTTTATCATATCTTCAAGTTTTAAGTTTTGTAATGAGGAATCTTTTATTATTTTTATAGCCAATCTATAACCCAATTTCTAAATTATGATTACAGATAGAGTCTCTGTCACTTACTTTTCATGGACACGATCTTATTGTTGACACTGAACTGGAGCTTAACTATGGGAGGTATGCACTTTGCACTATTCTCTTATGTCACATACTTTTTTTCCCACCATATAGTTTTTCTTACATTTATTTACCATATATCACTTTTCAGACGTTATGGTTTACTTGGTTTAAACGGATGTGGTAAATCCACACTTCTAACATCAATTGGAATGAGAGAACTTCCAATCCCTGAACACATGGACATCTTCCATCTCACCAGAGAAATCGAAGCATCTGACATGTCATCACTTGAAGCTGTCATGAATTGTGATGAAGAAAGGCTCAAATTGGAAGCAGAAGTTGAACGCTTAGCTGCTCAGGTTCTAACATTACAAAAAAAAATCGAGTCTTTACACATTTCTTGAATGTGAATCACAATCTTACTTTGTTTTTTGTTTTTTTCTTTGGTTTAGGATGCTGGTGGAGGTGATGCTCTTGATCGTATCTATGAACGATTAGATGCCATGGATGCATCAACTGCAGAGAAACGTGCAGCCGAGATCTTAAATGGTCTTGGATTTGATAAACAAATGCAAGCAAAGAAAACAAGAGACTTTTCTGGTGGATGGAGGATGCGTATTGCTTTGGCTCGTGCTTTGTTTATGAACCCCACAATCTTGTTACTTGATGAGCCCACTAATCATCTTGGTAAGTTCTTATCCTCTTCCCAAAGTCTAAAATCACATTTTCTTAAATGACATGAATATCTTTTTTTTTTTCTCTCAGATCTCGAAGCGTGTGTGTGGTTAGAAGAAACCCTAAAAAACTTCGAGCGAATCCTCGTAGTTGTCTCCCACTCCCAAGATTTCCTAAACGGAGTATGCACGAACATCATCCACATGCAAAGCAAGAAACTCAAAATCTACACGGGAAACTTCGACCAATACATCCAAACGCGATCTGAACTCGAAGAAAACCAAATGAAACAATACAAATGGGAACAAGACCAAATCGCCAACATGAAAGAATACATCGCGCGATTCGGTCACGGGTCCGCCAAACTCGCCCGCCAAGCCCAATCCAAAGAAAAAACCCTCGCGAAAATGGAACGCGGTGGCCTCACCGAAAAAGTCGCGCGCGACAAAGTCCTCGTCTTCCGCTTCGTCGACGTCGGTAAACTCCCGCCGCCCGTCCTCCAATTCGTCGAAGTCTCCTTCGGTTACACCCCGGAGAATCTCATCTACAAATGTCTCGACTTCGGTGTTGACCTCGATTCCCGTGTCGCGTTGGTGGGCCCCAACGGAGCGGGGAAAAGTACTTTGCTAAAGCTTATGACGGGGGAGCTTGTTCCTCTCGATGGCATGGTGAGACGACACAATCATTTGAGAATCGCGCAGTATCATCAACATTTGGCGGAGAAGTTGGATTTGGAGATGTCGGCGTTGTTGTATATGATGAGGGAGTATCCGGGGAACGAAGAGGAGAAGATGCGCGCGAGTATCGGGCGGTTTGGGCTGACCGGGAAAGCGCAAGTGATGCCGATGAAGAATTTGTCGGACGGGCAGAAGAGTCGGGTGATATTCGCGTGGTTGGCGTTTCGGCAACCGCAGATGCTTTTGCTTGATGAGCCGACAAATCATTTGGATATTGAAACGATTGATAGTTTGGCTGAGGCGTTGAATGAGTGGGATGGAGGGATGGTGTTGGTGAGTCATGACTTTAGGTTGATTAATCAGGTGGCGCATGAGATTTGGGTGTGTGAGAATCAGGCTGTGACACGTTGGGAAGGGGATATTATGGGGTTCAAGGAGCATTTGAGGACTAAGGCTGGGTTATCAGGTTAATGAGTGAGTTGCTATATTTTGTATGCACCGATGTTTGAGCTCGTGAGGCTTGTATTTTGGATATGGCTGCATGGGCTGTTTGTCGATTTATAAAGCTGAAAAGAGTTGTGGGAGAGGGTTATTTTAGGGGCTGGCTTTTGTTGAGCACTTATCGGTTATCAATGTCTCTCTCTCCTTTTGAGGCATCTTGTTTTTAATCTTAGATTTCTTTCTTGCACTATATTTTTGATTTTACTTTAATGAACGTAAACATGGTTTTATTTATGATTGCTACAATTTTTATTGAAGAGTGTAATGACTTGATTCTAAGTAAGTATTTGGATTTCTGTATTATTGATATATTTGTGCATCAACTTGGTTAAGAGGGTTTTTGATTCGTCGAAAGCGTATATGAAATACGTTTGAATGTTGATCGATTGATATGTGACTTTTGAATAGTTCCATTATGAGGTTGTTATTAAACAACTTCATATGTATGCAAATGATTTAGGAAAAATAAGTTAATGGTATTTCACAAGACCCTAAGTAATTTTTACAAAAGAGGTTGTGCGTGAAATGTAAAAGCGATATATTATTGAATAACTATGGTCTGAGCTTATTTATTAAAAGCGATGTTGTGAAAGTCATTAAATTATTTGTCAAGTTATGTAGCGATTGATTGCTACATGAAGCTGCTAGCTTCTCGATGTGCTTGTTCAATCAATTCGTCATTGCCTGTGAAGAGCTACTCATGTTTGACGTATTTCGGTTAACTATCTCACAGGAATCGGCAAGCTTAGGCCCATATAGATTCTAGGTAGGTAGGTGAAAAAAATTTATATCCATAATGCAAGACCTATTGACATATAATCTCAATCAAAATATAACAGCAACAAATTAATCAAAATTTATTTATGTTTAGGTGGAAAAAATAGACTATAAATGATGCTTTATTACTTTAAAATATAATATTAACGAATTAACCAATATACAATAATAACAAATTAACTAAAATTAATTTGGGTTTGATTGTTAATGGATATGAAACATTATGTTTAATTGGATTGTAGTAAAAGGTGCTAGCCTAGCACTACTAGGTAAACCAAATAAAATTCTAAAAATCCGACGGAAAAACTCTTAAGTGTTGTTTCGTTTACAAAATGATTTTGAGGTAACTGAAATTAAAATTGAAAAATGAATTTGGCAGGAATTTGAATCCAATTCCATATATTATGTGGTTGAAGGAATTGGAATTGAACTAATTCTAAATTCAGTTTGGTTAGTAGGAAACGAAATTAGAATCTTAGAATGACAAAACTGTCATTTATTATTATTATTATTATTATTATTATCTGTTTTACTAAATTCTCTTTCGATTTCTATCTTACAAGTAAAAATATATTATATAAATTATAAAAATAATAAAATTTTATTTTATTAATTGAACATTTATTTCATTGGCATAGCGTTGGTAGTTGGTGGTGGTGGGTGATAATGGAGGCGGTAGGTAGGTGGTGGTGGTGATGATGACAGTGACAGAGATATGTGGTGGTAAGTGGGTGGTGATGGCAATGATGCTGACGGTAGCGGTGGTAAGTGGTGGTGACAGTGGTGGTGGTTGGTGGTGTTGGCGGGTGTGGTAGATGGTGGTGCCGGTGACAGTAGGTGGTGGTGGGTGGTAATTGTGACGGTGGTGACAGACTAACAGTAGGTGGTGGTGGAGGTGGTAGGTAGTAATGGTGGTGGTAGATGTTATGTTGTGAAATAAAATAAGGATAATAAGGTAAAATGTTATTTTCCATTAATCCATCATCTTTTTGAAGGAATTCAAAAAGTGTTTTCTCTTATTTGATTTTTTTTATTTTTTTTTTTAGGATTCCAATTCCATTCGTATAAAGTTTAAACCAAACATTAGAATCTGATGGAATTGTATTTATTTTCCCCCCCTGATTCCATTCCATTATAGCGAAACAAACACATCCTAAATCCAAATCGAATATCGGACGGGTTTGGTAAATGCCATGCCCCGCCCGCCCGCCCGCCCATTGCCATTACCATTACTAGGCTTAAAAGATAAAACTAGTTTTAAATTAAAGAAAGCTCTCCTTTGGAATGCTTGATAATGGTGGTACAAATTACATTCAAATTGAATGCTACCATGGCACGTAAAATGCTCAGGTTCTTACAGAAGTGCAAAAACACTAATCACTTAAAACAAACCCATCTCCAGATACTCGTCAATGGCCTCAAAGACAACGACTCTCTATTACACAATCTCATCACTGTTTCGTCCGACCTCATTTCAGTGGATTATGCTTTCAATGTGCTTCAAACTTCGAATTCTCCCGACGTTATTGCTTATAACACAATGATCAAATGCTTCATCGGTCGTGAAAACAACTCTACCACATATAATGCACTGCGTGCTTACAAACAGATGAGGAGCAGAGCGTTTTTGGTATCACCCAACAGTTTCACCTTCACTTTTCTTCTAAAAACAATCGAGTGTTTGGATGTCGGTAGAATGATTCACGGAGAAGTTTTGAAGATGGGTCTTGATGCTTCCAGTGTGTTTGTTGGAAACACCCTTCTAAATTTCTACGCCAAGTGTGGTAATGATGGTGTTGACTTGGCGTCCAAGGTGTTCGATGAAATGCCTGAGAGAGATACCGTGTCTTGGAATACAATGATTGCGATGTATATGGACTGTCAAGAAGTTGAATCCGCTATCAAGTTGTTTGAATCAATGCCAAAAAGAAGCATCGTGACATGGAATTCTGTCATCACAGGGTTAGCAAAGAACGGAAAGATGGAATCTGCACGTTCAGTGTTCGACAAAATGCCTGAGAGAAACGAAGTTTCATGGAACTGTCTAATCTCTGGATATGTCAAAGCAGGCGATTTAAAAAACGCAGAGAACATGTTCGATAAAATGCCTGTAAAGTCTGTGGTAACATCTACATCAATCATATCAGGATACGCTGCATCTGGACATCTTGAATCAGCAAGAAAAATGTTCAATCAAATGGGCACCAAAAGAAATGTAGTAACTTGGAACGCCATGATTGCAGGATATGTAAACAAAAGCCAATTCAACGAAGCTCTTTCTTTGTTTCATTTCATGTTACTTGATAACAAATGCAAACCTGACCACATCACTTTAATTAGCATCCTCTCTGCTTCTTCTCACTTGGGTTCTCTTGAAAATGGCAAATGGATAAGCTCATACATAAACAAAAACAAGATTAATCTCTCAACCCCTTTAGGAAACGCATTAATAGACATGTTCACTAAATGTGGGGACATCGAAAATGGTAAATCAATTTTTAACAAAATGTCCAACAAATGTATAATCACATGGACAACAATGGTGTCAGGGTTAGCTGTTAATGGGAAATGTAAAGAAGCTTTGAATTTTTTTAACAAGATGTGTGATGAAGGAATAAAACCAGATGATGTCATGTTTATTGCTGTTCTTTCAGCTTGCAACCATGGAGGAATGGTGAAAGAGGGGAAGAGTTTATTCCAAAAAATGGTAAATTTCTATGGAATTAAACCTAAAATCGAGCATTATGGATGCTTGATTGATCTTTTAGCTCGATCGGGGGAGTTACATGAAGCAATTAGGTTGATAGAAAACATGGATATGGAGGCTAATTCGGTAATTTGGGCTACTGTGATTAGTGCTTGTAAGCTACATGGAAATGGTGAATTGTTTGAGTATGTAAGCAAGAAAGTATTGGATAAAGAAGGTTTAAATTCTGGATATTTGACATTAATTACAAATTTGAGTTCATCAATTGGAAGGTGGGAAGATGCTTTGAGATTTAGGTTGGAAATGAGAGAGAAAGGAATCGAAAAGATTCCTGGTTGTAGTTTGATTCAAATTGGGGATAGTGTGCATGAATTTGTTGCTAGAGATACAAATCATGTGCAAAGGAGTGATATTTATGAAATCTTGGAGTGTTTAAATGATAACTTGTTGTTAGAATGTGATCTTTGATGACCACTTTTCATAATCAATTAATTATGTTTTCTTACAATGCTATATGTTTTGGGTTTTTTTTAATGCTATTTTTAATCTATATAGGTTACTATAGCTTTATACTATTACAGATATAACAATTGAAAGTACATTGTTATTTCTTGCATTTAGCCCAATTAGGGGTCAAATGCAAGATATAGCGAAGTACTTCCATTTGTTTTTATAATATAGCATCATATTTTCTAATTGTTAATTTTAATGTTTTCTCTTATTAAACCAATGTACTTTCAAAACACAATGCTTAATTTAGGAAAAAAAGGAAAAAAAATAAAATTAATAAGTTAAGAATAAGAAATAAAAGACAGGTGAATTATTAGATAAAGGAAAGTGCATTATTATTTCTTGCATTTAGTATAATCAAGGGCTAAATGTAAGATATTACAATAAACTTCTATTTGTTTGTCTAATATCAAATCATATTTTCATTTATAAATCTTAAGTCCTTAAATTTTATTCTGATGTGAGTGGTTATTTATTTATTTATTTTTTTGTCTAAATGGTCACTGTTGCATGGTGCACTGGTTATTAAATGTTGAAAAGGACTAAAAGAGCAAATCGCTACCTACCTTATAACCCCATAAAGTCAATAAATAACTTTAGAGACTAAATCGACTAACCTTAGAAACTTTGTAGTGTATTTGTGTCATCCCTCTTTAAAATTATGCGAGTAGAGTTACTGTATATATATATATATATATATATATATATATATATATATATATATATATATATATATATATATATATATATATATATATATATATCACTACAAAAAAAAATGCTAATTAGTGACGAAAGCAAAACGGTCGCTAATAATAGAAGTAGTCGTCACTAAACGATTTAGTGACCAAAATTTTGGTCGTCACTTTTCGTCACTATAGGTCCGTCACAAAACCGATTTAGTGACAAAAATATATTAGTAGTCACTAAATAGTGACTAAAATGTCTTGGTCACTAAATCAACGACAACCCATTTTGTCACTAGATGTTGTCACTAATCAATGAAAATCGTCACTATTTTGTTCCATTTATGACCATAAAAAGTCATCACTAGGTTATTCAACTAGTGATCATACAAAGTCGTCACTGGTTTATACTAATTAATTAGTGATCATAAAAAGTCGTCACCATGTTAATTAGTGACCATACAAAGTCGTCACTATGTTATTCAATTAGTGACCATAAAAAATCGTCATTGATTTTTGTTGCTATTTTTTGTATTTAACCCATTTAAGTAAGTAGTCAATGGTAAAATATACTATGATTCATTTATAAAGATAAAACAAAAATTATTCTCAAATTTAAATACACCCACAATATCTAAGAACAAAAAGCTTGGGGAA